TCCCAGTCCCGGTGTCCCCAATCCCGGTGTCCCCAATCCTGGTGTCCCAATCCTGGTGTCCCAGCCCCGGTGTCCCAGCCCCGGTGTCCCAGTCCCGGTGTCCCAATCCCGGTGTCCCAGCCCTGGTGTCCCAATCCCGGTGTCCCGTCCCGGTGTCCCAATCCCGGTGTCCCCAATCCCGGTGTCCCAATCCCGGTGTCCCCAATCCCGGTGTCCCAACCCCGGTGTCCCAATCCCGGTGTCCCAATCCCGGTGTCCCCAATCCCGGTGACCCCAATCCCGGTGACCCGTCCCGGTGTCCCCAATCCCGGTGTCCCAATCCCCGGTGTCCCCAATCCCGGTGACCCGTCCCGGTGTCCCAATCCCGGTGTCCCCAATCCCGGTGCCCGCAGCTGGCGGCGCTGCGGGAGGAGCTGGAGCGGGCGGTGTCCCCAGTCCCGGTGTCCCCAATCCCGGTGACCCAATCCCGGTGTCCCAATCCCGGTGACCCGTCCCGGTGTCCCAACCCCGGTGTCCCAATCCCGGTGTCCCAGCCCCGGTGTCCCAATCCCGGTGTCCCAACCCCGGTGTCCCAACCCCGGTGTCCCAGTCCCGGTGTCCCAGTCCCGGTGTCCCCAATCCCGGTGTCCCAGTCCCGGTGTCCCCAACCCCGGTGTCCCAGCCCCGGTGTCCCAACCCCGGTGTCCCAACCCCGGTGTCCCAATCCCGGTGTCCCCAATCCCAGTGTTCCCAACCCCGGTGTCCCAATCCCGGTGTCCCAATCCCGGTGTCCCCAACCCCGGTGTCCCAGTCCCGGTGACCCGTCCCGGTGTCCCCAACCCCGGTGTCCCAGTCCCGGTGACCCGTCCCGGTGCCCGCAGCTGGCGGCGCTGCGGGAGGAGCTGGAGCGGGCGGTGTCCGCATCCCCCGGTACCCCCCGGTATACACCGGTACCTCCCGGTGTCCCGTCCCGGTGTCCCAGTCCCGGTGACCCGTCCCGGTGCCCGCAGCTGGCGGCGCTGCGGGAGGAGCTGGCGGAGCTGCGGGAGCGGCTGGAGCGGGCGGAGGCGCGGGCGGCGCGGGCCGAGGAGCGGCACCGGGAGCGGCTGGAGCGGCTCCGGGAGCGGCTGGACGAGAACGCCGCCCGCGCCGCCAGCCTGGCGGCCAGGTGGGGCGGGGCCCCGACAGCGCGGCGGGGACCCCGATTTGGGTGGGGCACCCCGAAAATGGGGCGGGGCACCCCGAAATTTGGATGGGGCACCCCGAAATTTGGGTGGGGCACCCCGAAAATGGGGTTGGGCATCCTGAAAATTGGGTTGGGTGCCCCAAAATTTGGGTGGGGCACCCCGAAAATGAGAGCGGCATCCTGAAAATGGGGTGGGGCACCCCAAAAACAGGGTGGCTCCCAGTCCCTCCCAGTCCCTCCCAGTCCATCCCAGTCCCTCCCAGTCCCCCCCAGTCCCTCCCATTCCCTCCCAGTCCCTCCCAGTCCCTCCCAGT